CCCTATTTGTCAAACCTGTGTTCTCAGGTACACATTTATTCCTTGAAATGCCCCCACAACCAGTGATAAGGTCTTTGGGTTCCTATACACACACACACACACACACACACACACACACGTATACATATATACACACGTATACATATATACACATTCTTTTTCTTTTCTTCTTCTTATTATTATTTTTGAGACAGAGTCTCTCTCTGTTGCCCAGGCTGGAGTGCAGTGGCGCGATCTCCATTCATTGCAAGTTCCGCCTCCCGGGTTCACGCCATTCTCCTGCCTCAGCCTCCCGTGTAGCTGGGACTATAGGCGCCCACCACCATGCCCGGCTAATTTTTGTGTTTTTAGTAGAGACGGGGTTTCACCATGTTAGCCAGGATGGTCTCGATCTCCTGATCTCGTGATCCGCCCGTCTCAGCCTCCCAAAGTGCTGGGATTACAGGCGTGAGCTACTGCGCCTGGCCTATTATTATTTTTTTGAGACGGAGTCTCACTCTTGTTGCCCAGGTCAAAGTGCAGTGGCGTGATCTCGACTCACTGCAATAACTGCCTTCCGGGTTCAAGCTATTCTCCTGCCTCAGCCTCCTGAGTTGCTGGGATTATAGGCGCCTGCCACCACGCCTGGCTAATTTTTGTACTTTTAGTAGAGACAGGGTTTTGCCACTTTGACTAGGTTGGAACTCCTGACCTCAGGTGATCTGCCCACCTCAGCCTCCCAAAGTGCTGAGATTACATGCATGAGCCACCACACCAGGCCCTTTTTTTTTTTTTTTGAGATGGAGTGCAGTGGTGCGATCTTGGCTCACTACAACCTCTGCCTCCTGGGTTCGAGGGATTCTCCTGCTTCAGTCTCCCAAGTAGCTGAGACTACAGGCGCCCGCCACCACACCCAGCAAATTTTTGTATATCTATGTGTGTGTGTATATATACACACGTATATGTATATATGTATGTATGTATGTGTTTATATGTGTGTGTGTGTATATATATATTTTTTAAGATGTAGTCTTGCTCTTGTCGCCCAGGCTGGAGTGCAGTGGCACAATTTCGGCTCACTGCAACCTCCGCCTCCCGGGTTCAAGCTATTCTCCTGCCTCAGCCTCCAGAGTAGCTGGGATTACAGGTGCCTGCCACCACGCCCAGGTATTGGCCAGGCTGGTCTTGAACTCCTGACCTCAGGTGATCCACCTGTCTCAGCTTCCCAAAGTGCTATGATTACAGGCATGAGCCCCCACACTCAGTCAATTTTTGTATTTTTAGTAGAGACAGGGTTTCACCATGTTGGCCAGGGTGGTCTTGAACTCCTGACCTCAGATGATCCGAATGCCTAAGCCTCCCAAAGTGCTGAAATTATGAGATTACAGACATGAGCCACCACACCCGGCCTTGTCATAAGATTTTTAGAGAGAAAAGGAAAATAACCCTTGAAGCTGCAGCTCTCACCTCCCTTGGCTGCCTGAGAGAGGTCAGGGTCTGGGTTTCTCCTTCCTATGTTCATCCTAGCCTATTGGGCAGGCTCTTCCACCCCCATTTTGCCCTAATCCTCCAGGCCCCATCCCTTGGGGTTGAGACTTTCTCTAAAGACACCCGCGTCCTCTCCTTCCTATCCTGAATCTGTCCCTTTCTGCCCTTCACTGCTGTCAGGGCAGCTATTGTTTCCTGCTAGGACTCCTGCGTTTGCCACCCCACTAGGGTGCACTGTCTTTCCTACAGCCCCTTAAACATACTAATGGGGCTAATGGGACACGGCTTCCCCACCTCAATGCACTGCAATCTTGCCACTCAGCCCAAGGTTCACGCATTTGTCTTGCCCAAGGGAGGGCCATCCTCCCTCCCCAGAGGCCTCATGCATGCCTTCCCACCTACCCTTATGCTCTTCCCAAAACAGCCCAGTGAAAGCAGACCCCGTGGGTCCAGCAGGCCATGGTTTGAGTCTGAACAAAGACAATGATGACGGCAGGTTATTAGACTTGTGTTTTTTGTTTGTTTGTTTTGTTTTGTTTTGAGACAGATTTTCACTCTTGTTGCCCAGGCTGGAGTGCAATGGTGCGATCTCAGCTCACTACAACCTCCACCTCCAGGGTTCAAGCGATTCTCCTGCCTCAGCCTCCCTAGTAGCTGGAATTATGGGCACCTGCCACCACACCCAGCTAATTTTTAGTATTTTTAGTAGAGACAGGCTGGGCACAGTGGCTCATGCCTGTAATCCCAGCACTTTAGGAGGCCAAGGCAGGCGGATCACCTGAGGTCAGGAGTTTGAGACCAGCCCGGCGAACATGGTGAAACCCTGTCTCTACCAAAAATATAAAAATTAGCCAGGCATGGTGGTAGATGCCTGTAATCCCAGCTACTCAGGAGGCTGAGGCAGGACAATCGCTTGAACCAGGGAGGCGGAGGTTGCAGTGAGCCAAGATTGCACCATTGCACTCCAGCCTGGGGGACAAGAGCGAGACTTCGTTTAAAAAAAAAAAAAAAAAAGTAGAGACGGGGTTTCACCATGTTGGCCAGGCTGGTCTCGAACTCCTGACCTTGGGTAATCCACCCACTTTGGCCTCCCAAAGTGCTGGGATTACAGGTGTGAGCCACCGTGCCCAGCCTAGACTTGTGTTTTAATGGGGTTTCCCACCTGGCACATATTTTCCACTGCCGACCTCCTGACCTCCAAATACCACATCTACAACACAGCCACCCAGTAGCTGCCCTGGGTGAAGGACAGGCATCCTGACCTTGTCTGTATTCTAGAGGCTTTGTTCTAGTCATACATTTGGACAGTGGGTTCCCGCTTTCACTTCGGAGTCACTCTGTCCTCTGGGATAAGGGAAGTGAGAACTGCTCCCTGAGGAATGAGATCATGAAGGGGCCTGGTAACGGCTGGGAAGGCACAGAAATAAAGCTTTCAGGGAGGGAAATGTGAGGAATGCGTTCATCAGATGGGAAACAAATAGTGGCATTTATCGGACTCTCGCTGTGTGGAGGCCCTGGGTCTCACCAGATGTATTTGTTTTCTACCGCTACTGTAACAAATTACCAGAAACTTCATAGGTCAAAACAATATCCATTTATTAGCTCACCATTCCATAGGTCAGAAGCCCAAGTAGGTCTTCTGTGGGTCTCATAAAGGCTGAAATCAAGGTGTGGTATGGACTGAGTTGCTGTCTGGAGGCTCTGGGGAAGAATTTGATTCCAAGCTCATTCAGGTTGTGGGCAGAATCTAGCTCCATGCACTTCTAGGGCTGAAGTCCGTTTTCTTTTCTTTCTTTCTTTTTTTGAGACGAGTCTCCTTCTGTCGCCCAGGCTGGAGTGCAGTGGCAGGATCTTGGCTCACTGCAAGCTCCGCCTCCTGGGTTCATGCCGTTCTCCTGCCTCAGCCTCCTAAGTAGCTGGGACTACAGGCGCCCGCCACCATGCCCGGCTAATTTTTTGTATTTTTAGTAGAGACGGGGTTTCACCGTGTTAGCCAGGATGGTATTGATCTCCTGACCTCATGATCTGCCCTCCTTGGCCTCCCAAAGTCCTGGGATTACAGGCCTGAGCCACTGCCTCCGGCCATGAGGTCTGTCTTCTTACTGGCTGTTGTTGCAGCTCTTCTCAGATTCTCAGCCTGACACTTGTCCCTCTCATGGACAAAACTCTTCTACTTCAAGTTTCTCCACCTTCCTCTTCTGTCTTTAAGGACCCTTATGATTACCTTGGACCTACCAAAATAATCCAGAATCATATTCTATTTTAAGATCAGCTAATGAGTAACCTTAGTTATGTCTGCAAAAACCCTTTCACCATGTAGTGTAACTATTCGTAGGTGAGATGATCATATTTACAGGTTCTGGAGATTTGGGCACGGAATCTTGGAGGTGGCCATTTTCAGAATTCTGTTCCCCATAACAGATCGACTTGCAACGTCCCAGAATCTCACAGAGTCTAGCTCAGGAGAGGCCCAGAGCAGGGTGAGGCAGTTGTCTGTTCCTGTCTGCGTTGTAGTAGAAGGTGCCAAGGCCGAGATGGGGTCCGCTCCCCAATCCCACCCACAGCGGGCGGGCCTGGAGTAGGGGTAGCTCGCCTGCGCCTCCTGGCGGCCAGGGACCGAGACCTACTTCAGCTCTCACCCGTGTCACAGGAATAAGGCCACTTTCCCAGTTCGCAGTGGGGTTTAAACTGGCCGGAACAGGTTGGTGACTTGGGCCGGGAACTGCCTTCCCATTCTCCATCACACGGCGCCTGCGGATTGATCGCGCAGGCCCCGCCACACCCCTGATCTCCTGGGCGACGCCGGAAGAGTGCTCTGGTCCAGAGATTCCTCGCAACGCGGCAGCCCTAGCCTCTTCGACTTTGGTTCCGACTGAGAGCCGCAGTCTGACGGGAGCTGATCGCCATAAAAATACCGGAAATGTGCTTCGGTAGGGTTTCCCCTGCGCCGCCGCGACCACGGGCTTTGGTTCCGCCGGCGTAGGGGCCCGGAAGTGCGGCCTTGTAGTCCGTGAGAAGGAGGCGGCCACAGTAGAGCCTGGTGCCTGAAGAGGAGTCGGAGGTGGGGTCGGATGGGCATCCCCCTGCCGCAGGGCTGGCGAGGAGGCTGGGGCGTGCCAGGGGAGGGGCACCTGCGCTCCGCTAGAAGCGCACGCTGCG